AAAAAAAAAATGTGCAGAAATTTACCTGAAGTGGAATACACTGCAACTATTAAAAATAGTTACCAAAGAACACTCACTGGCATAGAGAGGTATTTGAGAAACAGTAAGTGGAAGTTACAAGTCTAGATTTACAGAGTGCTCCTTTTTTTAATTCTTAAAAAATTTTTAAAATTTTAATTTTTAAAAAATTCTTTTTTACTTTAATTTGAGAGAGAGAGCGAGAGAGAGCAGGTGAGAGAGCACAAGCAGGGGGAGCTGCAGAGGGAGAGGGAGAAGCAGACTCCCCGTGCAGCAGGGAGCCCAATGTGGGACTCGATCCCAGGACCCTGGGACCATGACCTGAGCCGAAGGCAGACGCTTAACGACTGAGCCACCCAGGCGCCCCAATAAATAAAATCTTTGAAAAAAATGAACAAGTATGTTCATGGCAGTATATTATTTTTAGTAATTCAAAACAGGAAACACCACAAATCCCTCAGCGGTGGCGTGGATGAACGAGGGCGTGTTTGAACAGGGAGTGTGCTCAGCAGTGCCCACGAATCTCACTAACATAATGTCTAAAAAACCACACAAAGATTATGATTCCCTTTATATAAAATTTAGCAAGCAAAGTCAATGTGTGCTGTTAGAAGTCAGAGTAGTGGTTACTTTTTTCAGTCATTTTTTTTTTATTTGTGGGAAAATATATGTAACATAGGATTTACTGTTGTAAGCATTTTAAAGTGTCGATCCAGTGGCATTCAGTACATTCAGTGTTGTGTATCCATGACCTCTGTCAAGTGCTTGAACTTTAAGCAGCACCCCCGCCCGCCCTCTGTCCATGATGTTCCTGTTGAAGAGGAGGGAATGATGACTGGGAGGGAACATAATGGGGGCTTCTGGGTGGTGGTAATGTTCTATTTTTTTATCAGGGTGGGACTATATGGATGTGTTCATGTTGTGAAAATTTAGCTGTACACTTGTAATTTATATATGTTTTGTATGTGTGTCATATCTAAGTACACATAAATTTGGAGATATGTAATATCTACCTATTTGCATAGATAGCTATTATATAGATTTTTTATTTAATAAATAAAATTATTTTATTTAATAAAATAATTTTATTAATGTATAAATATATTCGATATTTATATGTAAAGTGTTAACAGTCTTTTTTTCTAGGAGGTAGGATCATGAATCTTTTCTACTTTGTTTTGCTAATTTGTGTTTTCCAATTGGTTTTCATGAATATGTATTACTCTGGTAATAGTTTTTAATAGTGAAGTAGTTTTAAATTTAAAATAACTTGTGGGGCGCCTGGGTGGCTCAGTCGTTAAGCGTCTGCCTTCAGCTCAAGTCATGATCCCAGGGTCCTGCGATCGAGCCCCGCATTGGGCTCCTTGCTCAACGGGGAGCCTGCTTCTCCCTCTCCCACTCCCCCTGCTTGTGTTCCCTCTCTCTGTGTCTCTCTGTCAAATAAATAAATAAAATCTTAAAATAAATAAATAAATAAAATAACTTGGGATGCCTGCGTGGCTCAGTCGGTTAGGTGTCTGCCTTCCACTCAGGTCGTGATCTCAGGGTCCTGGGATCGAGCCCCGCATTGGGCCCCTTGCTCAGCGTGGAGCCTGCTTCTCCCTCTGCCTGCTCCCCCTGCTTGTGCTCTCTCTCTCTCTCTGTCAAATAAATAAATAAAATCTTAAAAAAAAATAAATAAAGGAAAATAGCATTAATTGTAGTGCCTCACAAGAGAAAATGTTCCTTACCATCAGAGTCAATGGGAGTATCCCCTCAGAACTTTGCCTGGTTACCATTTTGCCCCAAGGCTGACCCTTCTAGATGTGTCCGTCACCCTGCACGGTTCTGGCTGGGACAGACATTCTCTCTCCCTGACCACCTTTCTGGTGGGTATGGGAGGAGGCTGTGAGGGAGACGTGTGGGAGGTCAGTCCAGCTCTCCTTGGCCACCGGGTGGTTGTACTCGGAGGACTCTGGTGAGCTGGAATTAAACTTGAAGTAGAGCTCGCTTCTCAGCACATAGACTGAAATTGGAATGATACACAGAAGATTAGCATGGCTCCTGTGCAAGGCTGACATGCAAATTCATGAAGCATTTCATATTTTATTTAAAAATAAAAAATAATAGGGGCGCCTGGGTGGCTCAGTCGGTTAGGCGTCTGCCTTCGGCTCGGGTCCTGGGATCAAGTCCCGTGTCGGGCTCCCGCTCGCAGAGAGAGTGCTTCCCCCTCTGCTCATGCTTGTTCTCTCTTCTCTCTCTCAAATAAATAAATATTAAAAAAAAATAATAAACTTGAAGCAAAAGCTGGGGTACCTGAGAAGACAGAGGCCAAGGTGAGCAGGCTACACGGACTGGCCCTAAAGGAGCGTCAGGAGCAGCCAAGGGCTTCAAGCGAGCCCATGACCCTCCAGTCCGTCATCCCAGAAACAAGCAACCACTCCGGAGAACACTCAGCCTTCCTCAGTTACTCTGCATCCACCAAAAGAGAAAAATCCTAAGTACTAAGGACATCTGCGTGTACAGCTCCCTGGCATTCTTGTTCAGGACTTTGAAATGCCTTTAAGCCACCCTGTTTTGCTGGCTTCCTCCTCTTTGAAATCTCAGTTTCATGTCCATTTCCTGCAGATGCTCAGGAACTATTACCTTCCCCTCCTCGTAGCACCTTGTTCATATCTCTACCCGAGCGGTCACCACACTGTGTAGTAAGTCTTTGTCGCCAAACTGTGACCTCCTTAGTAGCTGGGTGCTTTGATCACTGTATCCTCAACTCCTGTACAATCATTGAAAAACAGTAGATCCCCAACAAATGTTGATCTGAAATGTTGAAGGTGGGTCATTTTCCCACCTCGGACCCTCTCACCAAATGGAGTGATTGCACACCTTTCTTCTCTTTTCCTTAAGGCTCTTATTCTCCACTCCTTTCCTCGCTTCCAAGATTTCTTTAGTTCTTAGGAGATCATTACATGTATGCATTTGTCCTGCAGCTTGTGCAGGTCTGTGACCACTGCCGTGTGCATCACAGGGCCTGTGGCCACTCACTTCTCCTTTTCCGGTACTTGTCTTGTTTTTGCCCTTCAATTTCAGGAACTGAGGACGTGTTAAATAAGTTGCTTTTAGCTGAGCTTTTATTTATTTTTTTAAATATCAGTTTCTTGGACTTATTTATTTATTTTTGATTATGTATTTAACTTTTTTACAATAAACATACAGCATATTTGTAATGAAAAGAAATAAACACACAATCAAAAATTTATAAAAGACACCCACTGTAAAGCCAGTGTGTAAGCCATCACTGAGAGTAACAGGCAATAACTGATTAAAGCATCAAGTATTCTCTGATAAGAGAAAGCCTTAGAAAGGACATAGGGCCATTATGGACAAAACAGCTAATATCTGGTGCAGAGAAAGTAGTCATTGATTGTCTCAAGGCAATGGGCTGGTGGAGGGAGCTTTTTCATGGAAACCATGCCCTCAGTATCATTTTACTTAAAAGTAAAATAAATATCCTGACTTTCTGAAATCCAGCTTTGACCACAGTATAATTCATGTCCAAATGAGTGTGATGAACTGGGTATAGAGGAAGGTTTAGCTGAGCTTTTAAGGAGGAATTTTCCCCTACACACTAGAAGATGTCGGTCCTCCACGAGCCCCTTTTCTTATTTGTTGAGTCCTCATGACAAGCCTGGCACTGTGCAGGTTCATGATCTGTCAGCAGAGGCAACCACTGCCTTAGGGTGGTTTTCATCGACTGGACATCATTTGCGAACATATAGCAGGGCACTGTCTTAGTCCTTGGCCAGATATAGCTTCCTTGAGGAAGTGACATTTCTGTGAAATGTTCAAAGTTGACTAGAAGGTGGTTGAGGGGAAACAGAGGTGATAAAAGAGCCAAGGGAACAACGACAGGTTAAAAGGCCCTGGAGTGTGGAGGATGGGGCAGGGGCTGGGGTGGATAATGTCCATGATCTGAAGACCTCACCAGTAGCTGGAGTGTGGAGCTGGGTGGAGTGGTCCAGATGAGGCTGAAGAAGTAGGCAGAGAGGGACTCAGAGCCTGGACGTATGACAAGGCTGCTTTAGTCAATAATCTTAGTTGTAAGCGACAAAAATCCACCTAAGAGAAAAGGGGAGACTTAATTGGCTTTCATGGGCAAAGAGGTCATTGAGCTGTGAATCCTCTGGCTCATGTTTGCTCTTCTTTGCATTAGCTTCATTCTTGGGCTTGATCTCTGGTCCTCTGACCCCCTTTGTTACACAGAAGCCAACGACTGGGGTGGAAGGGAATGGGGGGCGAGAAAGCCTCTTTTCAGGCCCCCTGGGGGAAGGCAGGAAGGTTGGCCTTTGAGGGAGTTCATGGAGGTAGAAAAGGGGACGGGTGAGGGATGCTGTTTCCAGACTCCAAAGCTGTTTGCTTTCGAAAAATAGCAAACCCACAGCCCCCTATCTCTGGAAAGGCCTAAAATGCATTCTCTCAGCCGCATCCTGAGCCTTCCAAGGAAACAGGATCATTTCGATTGGTAAGAGCAAACAAGGAGGGCGGGAACCCCAGAAACTCCTCCCGACTCCCGCCCCTCATTCTGGCCCCTGTGCAAAGCGGGTCCTGACCTATTGGTCTTGCTCGCGCTGCTTCTTCCCGCCCTTCTCAGAGTCCTTCAGGTCCCGCCCCAATTTCGGGGCTCCAGAACTCCCCGGGCCGGCGAGCTAGCTGAGCAGCAGAACGTCCCACCCTGGGATCCCCTTTTTTCCTGGGCTCCGGCGCTTCCGCCTCCGGGGCGGAGACTCCTCCCCCTCACTGTCCCAGTTGTGTTCCCTGGAAGAGCAGCCGGGAAAGCGTCCGCCTGCTCCGGCCGGGGCGAACGAGAAGCCGGCTCCCTCCCGCAGCCCCGCCGCCCCGCCGCCCGGCCGCCCGGCCGCCCCGCCGCCCCGCGGCCGCCCGCGCGCAGGGCCCCTCCGGCGGCGCGGGCGCTCCTTCAGCACCGCGGACAGCACCCCGCCCGCGGCATGGCCCTGCGCTCCGGCCCCGCGGCGCTGCTGCTGGGCTTCGGCCTCCTCGGGCTGCGCGCCGGTAAGGACCGGGCTCCAAGCTGCAAGGGGGATCCCCAGAGATGGAGGAGCCCGCAGGGGGACGCCTGGGCGGCCGAGCTGGGAGGAGGACATCCCCGAAGGAGTAGGCGATGCAAGGAAGCGAGGGAGATCCGGGCAATGGTGGTGGGGAGGGCGTGGGCACGGGGAGGGAGTCTCCCCAGGCCTTCTGGGGTGGCAGGAGGGCACACTCTGCGGCTGAGATGCCATTTGACTTCCCGTGAAGCATTATCTCCAGAAGTCTACCTGGAAGGGCACCCTCCCTTAGCTCTCCATCATTTTCTGTGCCCCACATTGGGCTCCTGATTCTGGCCACTCCACAGGGGCAAGACAGGAAGGGGAGAGAAGTGACTTCTCAACTCTCTTGTACGGTGGGGCGGAAGACTTGGAAGGGAAGGTGCTCTGCCAGGCTGAGTGCCAGGAAGGAGCTCTGAGGGGTGGGGGTACAGCTGTGCAGGGCTGCAGGAGAGAGAGTCTGTGGAGGGGCGGGTACAAAGGGATTGTGCAGCTAAACGAGCCTCCCACACCTGCATGCCATCTCATGGGAGGTGGGCTCCCATATGTGTGGAACTGGGAACTGAATACACGTTCTGACACACAGCGCAGGCAGCCCAGGTATCCTCTCCAACCCAGTGCCTTTGAAGGTGGGGGCGGGGTGGGGTCACAGCCCAAGTCACATGTGGAGGTGCATAATGTTACTTGTATACACAGATGGGCCCTGACTGAGGAGAAAGGTTGTGTGGTGGGAAATAAAGAGCTGTTCCCTTTCACCACCATCCAAAACCCTCCTTGAACTGCAGGGATCTTTTAGGAGAAGGTGTGAAAACAAGAAATCTCAGGTCTTTTGAAACAATAGTCTGAGACCTCGCAGGAAGAGCGGGTCTCCACTAATTCCTGCAGAGTGGGCTTTTAGTCTGGAGACATCTGTGTGAGGCTGTCTGGTCTCCCTGGTCGGTGATCTCAGAGAAGCGTTTCTCTGTGAGGGGCCCCCGTGGGATAACGGAAGCATTTTGCTATATCCTTAGAGATGGAGAGGTGGGAGCTCCTGTTTCGGCCTGGTTGCCCCACTGCCTAGGGAGAGTGGGATGCTAGGTGGGCCCCCCTTGCCTACTTCCTTTCTTCCTACCGCCCACCCAGGAGTGTCGGGTACTGACACGGAGGAGCGGCTGGTAGAGCATCTCCTGGATCCCTCCCGGTACAACAAGCTCATCCGCCCAGCCACCAATGGCTCGGAGCAGGTGACGGTACAGCTCATGGTGTCCCTGGCCCAGCTCATTAGTGTGGTGAGTGGGGGCCCACGCTCTCTGCCCAGCTACTCAAGTCAAACAGCCAGAATTACTCCCCGGAGCTCCCCAGGCTTGGGGAGGTATGGGAAGGACCACGGATGGCTGTAGCGAGCCTGCAGGCTGAGGGGCCTTCTCAGCAGCTTCTTTTCTTCCCTGCAGCATGAGCGGGAGCAGATCATGACCACCAATGTTTGGCTGACCCAGGTTAGTGCTCTTCCTGCCCAGTGCACATCCCTGGTCTGCTTTTCCCTCGTTAGTTTTGTTTGTTTGTTTGTTTGTTTGTTTTGCATGTGCTTTCCCCCTCTTTTAATCTCCTCAAAAAAGGCAGAAAGGTATAGACTTTGGAGTGCTAAATAGCTGGATCTGAAACTTGGTGCTTCCACTCACCAGCTCTGTGACTTTGAACACGTTAAACTCTACAAGATTCATTTTCTTGTTTGTAAAATGTAGATTCTAATATCTTAGCTTAGATGTGCAAATTAAATGAGAAACTATCTTATGAGCCACATTTGCTGGGCAGGGAAGTCACTGTGGGGAGGGGATGGCTTTTCCAAGCCTTCTCAAGCCAGACTGCCTCCCCCCTCCTCCCCCACCCCCAACCTGTCCTTGACCTTGAGCCTCAGCAAGGGCATGGGTTGGTAAGGTTCCCTCTCTCCCTCTCTCCCTCTCTCCCTTTCCCAGGAATGGGAGGACTATCGGCTCACCTGGAAGCCTGAGGAGTTTGACAACATGAAGAAAGTTCGGCTCCCTTCCAAACACATCTGGCTCCCAGATGTGGTTCTATACAACAAGTAGGTGGCCTTGGAGCAACGGGAAGGTTGGAGGAGACTACAGGAGTGCTCTGGGAGGGAAGGGGTCTTAGGGAAAGTAAGTTAGCTCGCCCAGCGGGACAGAAGGGACTTCTTGTTGGCACAGACACAATCAGTATGCAGCAGACAGACCCAGACGAGTGAGGTGTAATGTGGAAAACCCAGACGATTCCAAGGTGATTTGGGCCACGGCCAGTCCCCTCTCCGCCAAATCTGTGTCCCATTGTTGGGAGCCTCAGTGGGAGAGAGACAAGGGTTGACAGCCCCAGTGCCTATATGGATTCAAGAATAGCCTTTCCCGGAGGATCGTTCAGGATCAAAGAACGTGGAGGCCCCAGTGTCTCCTCTGGGTTCCGTCCCCTTTCCTGCCACAATCCCACTTACCTCCAAGATCCGAAATCACTAGTGGGTGCATCTCCTGCTCCCACCTGCCCCTGTCCCCCTCATTGCCTGGGGCTCCTTACTCTGGCTTCCCTGGCTCCCCCAACCTCTCCTCTGCATGGGGAGCAACCAGCTCACACAGTGCATGACAAGTAGCAGACAGCCGCCGTCATCCACCCTCTTCTGCTTCCAAAAGGCCTCCCAGGCCTCCTGACCACCAACTCACCCAGATCCCCTTCTTGCTCAATTCCTGCCCCACCTCTGTCGACTCCTGGGCGGTTACCCTCCGGCCTGGCTCTCCCCTCCTCCCGCTCAGCGCCGGGTTGATGGGTGGGGTGCAGGAACGCGTGAGCCGGGGCTGACCGCGCTCCTCCCTCGGCAGTGCCGACGGCATGTACGAGGTGTCCTTCTACTCCAACGCCGTGGTCTCCTACGATGGCAGCATCTTCTGGCTGCCGCCCGCCATCTACAAGAGCGCGTGCAAGATCGAGGTGAAGCACTTCCCGTTCGACCAGCAGAACTGCACCATGAAGTTCCGCTCGTGGACCTACGACCGCACGGAGATCGACCTGGTGCTCAAGAGCGACGTGGCCAGCCTGGACGACTTCACCCCCAGCGGCGAGTGGGACATCGTGGCGCTGCCCGGCCGGCGCAACGAGAACCCGGACGACTCCACGTACGTGGACATCACGTACGACTTCATCATCCGCCGCAAGCCGCTCTTCTACACCATCAACCTCATCATCCCCTGCGTGCTCATCACCTCGCTGGCCGTCCTCGTGTTCTACCTGCCGTCCGACTGCGGCGAGAAGATGACGCTGTGCATCTCCGTGCTGCTGGCGCTCACCGTCTTCCTGCTGCTCATCTCCAAGATCGTGCCGCCCACCTCCCTGGACGTGCCGCTCGTCGGCAAGTACCTCATGTTCACCATGGTGCTCGTCACCTTCTCCATCGTCACCAGCGTGTGCGTGCTCAACGTGCACCACCGCTCGCCCAGCACGCACACCATGGCGCCCTGGGTC